TTCAAATCAAACAAAGTTTAATTTTGGACCCCAACTTGGACCAACTTGAAAACTGGGCCCATAATAAAAAATCTAAACACATGTTTAGATTCAGCATATCAAAGAACCCCAAGAATTCAATTTTTGTTAAAATCAAACTAAGTTTAATTTTGGACCCTTTGGATTTTATGTAGACCAATTTAAAAAACGGGACCCAAAATTAAAAATCAAAATACACGGTTAGATTTGGCATATCAAAGAACCCCAATAATTCAATTTTTGATGAAATAAAACAAAGTTTAATTTTGGACCCTTTTGACCTCAATATGAACCAATTTGATAGCCGGGCCCACAAATAAAAAATCTAAATACATGGTTAGATTCAACATATCAAAGAACCCCATATATTCAATTTTTGTTGAAATCAAACAAAGTTTAATTTTGGACCCCAATTTGGACCAACTTGAAAACTGGGCCCAAAATCAAAAATCTAAATACATGTTTAGATTCAGCATATCAAAGAACCCCATATATTCAATTTTGGTAAAATCAAACTAAGTTTAATTTTGGACCCTTAGGACCTTAATGTAGACCAATTTGAAAACTGGACCCAAAATTAAAAATCAAAATACACGGTTAGATTTGGCATATCAAAGAACCCCAATAATTCAATTTTTGATGAAATAAAACAAAGTTTAATTTTGGACCCTTTTGACCTCAATATGAACCAATTTGATAGCCGGGCCCACAAATAAAAAATCTAAATACATGGTTAGATTCAGCATATCAAAGAACCCCATATATTCAATTTTTGTTGTAATCAAACAAAGTTTAATTTTGGACCCCAATTTGGACCAACTTGAAAACTGGGCCCGAAATCAAAAATCTAAATACATGTTTAGATTCAGCATATCAAAGAACCCCATATATTCAATGTTTGTTAAAATCAAACTAAGTTTAATTTTGGACCCTTTGGACCTTAATGTAGACCAATTTGAAAACTGGACCCAAAATTAAAAATCTAAATACACGGTCAGATTTGGCATAACAAATAAATAAATGTGGTCAAAGATTTTACAAATCTAATGCGCCATACTGTGCAATTAAAGATTACTTCTTGAATTTTTTCAATATTTGAAATTTGAAAAAAAAATAATATTTGAAGAATAATTCTTTTTAATGTCTGAAATCTGAAATGAGAAAAATTGACCCCCCACAATTTCTTTTTACCCCCCCCTTTTTCCCCCAAAAAAATCTTTCCCTCAAGATATGGTCATAATCTCAATTCAAATTTCCAATGGAATTTGCAACCATAATTACCCATTTAAATTTACCATAGTGCTAACTTAATCTATTTTATAATAGAATTTAAAACATGGTGTCAAATCTTTCATATGGATTTTTTTGTAAAAAAAAAAAAGATGCAACATTTGAAGATATTTTTACTGGTCTTCCTTTACAATTATGCATTTCTTTAAACATAATTTAAAAGCAGTGTAAGGGAAGTAATCAAAACGTTGTATGTGGATTACCTCCCTTACACTGTTTTAAATTGTCTTTATTGTTCATTAACCATTACTTTATACATAATTTAAAAGCAGTGTAAGGGATGCAATTCAAAAGATGTATTTGATTTATCTCCCTTACACAGCTTTAAATTATGTTTTGTACTAAAGTATTTGTCCATATAAAAATGCTTGTTTTTTGCCCCTTTTTTGGCCCCTAATTCCTAAAATTTAGAGGCAATTACCCCCAAAATCAATCCCAGCATTCCCTTTGTGATATGGAACCTTGTGGTACAATGTCAGAGAGATCCATACACTAACACACAAGTTATGTCTGGAAGTAACAAAAATGCTTATTTTTGGCCCCTAATTCCTTAACTGTTGGTACCATAACCCCCAAAATCAATCCCAACCTTCCTTTTGTGGTATTGAACCTTATGGTAAAATTTCATAGAGATCCATTCACTTAAACTAAAGTTAGAGTGCGAAAACCAATGTGTCTTCGGACAACGACGACAACGACGCCAACGTCATACCAATATACGATCGCAAAATTTTTTTGCGGTCATATAAAAACTAAAACTTTTGAAATTAGACCACATTCACACACCACAACAAAATCATGTGAAATTCGATTTGACAACAATACTGGTTTGCATTCCAAAATATTCCAGATGTGTATTTGTGAATCCAGAAACAACCCATTTGAGAAAGGTAGTTTAATTAACATCTGATTTCAACTATCATGGGATTTGAGTTTAGATAAAACATACATGTGGATGCAAATGCATATTCTTATCCAGAATATATCAGTGTGCATGCTATTTATTACTATTGTGCATGCACATTCATTTCACTAGTATGCAGAATTTAATTTAGAAAACACTTACACATTATAGAACCATTTGTTAATCCAAACTGGATTCAAATCAGTCCAGGTAAACATTGGAATTTCACAACATCCCATTTAAATATAGCATTCATGTGAAAAGGGTACAAGTTTCATAGCATATCAATTTATCAAATTATAAAACTATTTTTTATCTTTATTACATTATAGATAGTAATACATGTAGATACTTATTTATTTATGTGCATCTCTAATAATTGGTGCCCATATGTTACATATAATTGTCCTAAAGTCACTGTTAAAAGCTGGGACAATATATGACATTATTAATGATATATTTAGTCTCAACTAACACAATATTTTCAATGAATTTTCCCTTGGGTTTTTACTGTCAGTAACTATGAATGAAATTTAATATTTTTCACAGAAATATCATTTTGTTTAATTATCTTTTTGCTTTCTGACCAAGTGATGGCACTACACAGTATCATGGGAGAAGACTTTATAAGTTTGATTAAATTGTGTCTCATCCCTTTTGCATATTTAAGCAAATAAAATATGTTGATCATGTGGTAAACATTCTGTCAAAACAAATACAGTTGGCCCTTAGAGGGTTCACACACAAAAATACAGTATTTCATTTGCGCCCAAAAATAAATACTGCTTTTGCACCATTTAACAGGTAGCCTTTAATGGTTAAATTTAGGTATACATTTTATACTAAATACGAGGCTCCTATAAGAAATATTTTTACCCCCATCGTAATTTACAAGTGAGTTCATATCCATTTCTCAACCAAAACGTAGGTAGAAAATTGTATAGTTTTCACATGTTGGAGGTGACAAAGATGGATATTTTATAAACACAAATAAAGGTTATTTTATCTATTGAAAAATAGATGTACCAAAAAACTTGTAAAGCCAGAATCACATCATGTGGACAACACAACTTTTATAAAAACATTGAACGAACACACAACCATGGTGTACCCCAGCAGAAAGTAGAATCTCAGCAATGAAGAATCTGAGTTTGAAAAGCACCTGGTGACATTTCTGAAAGCCAATCAACAATTTCACTGCTTTACCAAAAAAATTAAAGCAGATGTGCAGAGTTCAAAACTGTCTCTTTTCAATATATGTCTATTATTTATACTATTTACCTATATTACTAGCACAAATAAAATGTTTTAATTTGGCGCAAATAAAATGTCAATTGGCTGAAAAGCAATGCACATGCAGTTTCAGCTTTAAAACTTCAATAAATTGAAACTAGAGGCTCTAAAGAGCCTGTGTTGATCACCTTGGTCTATGTGCATATTAAACAAAGGACACACATTATAGACAAGAATAGAATTCATGACAAAATTCTCTGTTTTGGTGATGGTGACTTGTTTGTAGATCTTGCTTTACTTAACATTCTTGCTGTTTACAATTATCTCTATCTATAATGAACTTGGCCCAGTAGTTTCACAGGAAAAGATTTTTATAAAAGTTTACAAAAATTTACGAAAAATCATGAAAAATTGACTTTAAAGGGCAATAACTCCAGAAGAGGTCAATTGACAATTTTGATCATGTTTGACTTATTTGTAGAGCTTACTTGCTGAACAACTTTGCTGTTTACAGTTTATCTCTATCTATTATAATATTCAAGATAATAACCAAAAACTTCAAAATTTCGTTAAAATTACCAATTCAGGGGCAGCAACCCAACAAGGGGTTGTTTGATGCATCTGAAAGTTTCAGGGCAGATAGATCTCAACCTAATGAACAATTTTACTCCCTCAGATTTGCTCTAAATGCTTTAGTTTCAGAGATATAAGCCAAAAACTGCATTTTACCCCCATGTTCTATTTTTAGCCATGGCTGTCATCTTGGTTGAGGGGCAGGGTCATCGGATACATTTTTAAAACTAGATACCCTAAGTATGATTTAGGCAAAGTTTGGTTTAATTTGGCCCAGTAGTTTCAGAAGAGAAGATTTTTGTAAAAGATTACAAAAATTGTGAAAAATTGACTTTAAAGGGCAATAACTCTTTATGGGGTCAATTGACAATTTTGATCGTGTTTGATTTTTTTTGTAGATCTTACTTTGCTGAACAATTTTGCTGTTTACAGTTCATCTCTATCTATTATAATATTCAAGATAATAACCAAAAACTGCAAAATTTCCTTAAAATTACCAATTCAGGGGCAGCAACCCAACAATAAATTGAAACTAGAGGCTCTAAAGAGCCTGTGTTGATCACCTTGGTCTATGTGCATATTAAACAAAGGACACACATTATAGACAAGAATAGAATTCATGACAAAATTCTCTGTTTTGGTGATGGTGACTTGTTTGTAGATCTTGCTTTACTTAACATTCTTGCTGTTTACAATTATCTCTATCTATAATGAACTTGGCCCAGTAGTTTCACAGGAAAAGATTTTTGTAAAAGTTTACAAAAATTTACGAAAAATCAAAAAAAACCAAAAACTGCAAAATTTCGTTAAAATTACCAATTCAGGGGCAGCAACCCAACAAGGGGTTGTTTGATGCATCTGAAAGTTTCATTGATATCCAAGACTATTTATGCCTTTATAAAACCTACCTTAGAGGTCCCTTGTGTCCATGTAAACCTACCTTAATGTCCCTGACAGGTCCCTTGTGTCCATGTAAACCTACCTTAATGTCCCTGACAGGTCCCTTGTGTCCCTGTAGAACTCTGACACTTGTCATTGACATTAAGTCCCATTCTCGTACTGTAGAATCACTGAAAGCAACAAATATTCATTTTTGTTTGTTCCTCAGTCCAAATATTCAAGAACATATAAACATGCCATAAATTTTCAGATGAAAATATGAATATGCTGACTTTTGTAAGTACTATTAACCTTGAATCTTACAATTAGCTTTCTTATAAACAATTCTCACATTCAAGACTCAATTTGCAATTTATTGAATATGTTCATCACACCAAATATTCTTATATCAGTTAAGAATCTAGTCAAAATATAATCTCCATGGAAATGAGATGTTCTTATGCTTACACAACTACATACCAAATATCATTGACTTACCAATGGTTCCCTTAAACTGACCTAATCACAAAATCAAACATGTAAACTATGCAAAAGTTTCAAAGTCAATAGACCATGAATGATGAGGCAGGACCAAACAATTTCCATGAAATGAGATGTGCTAATGCTAATACATTTGCATAGTCAATATCTTTGACACACCAATAGTGGTTTCCCATAAACTCATCTCATCACAAACTTTAACATGTAAACTATGCAATCTCAATAGACCATCATGACTGAAAGTGTAAGGACTAATAATATTAATAGAAACGTGATTTGCCAATTTTATTACAACTGCATACTTAAGGGCATCCGATACAGTTTCACTTTATATTGTCATTTTTATAATTTTGAAATATGTTGTGGCCCTGGACGAGTTATAAAAGAAATCACCAAATAAAACATATGTCACTGTGCTTGTTTTCGAGATTGAGGCTGAAAATTGGGGATATTTGCACTTTAGTAAAAAAGTTGACAAGTGAAAATAAAGAGAAAATTAAATCCCGTCAAGAATGACTAGTTAATCATTCAAGCCATGCTTAAAATTACGGATAAGATGCTCATAGTTGGAAATTTTTTTACCTTAAAATGTGGAAATCGAGAGGTTCTTATAAAGTCATTTTTTCATTTTTCTAAATTAACTCTCTTTTGTCATGTTTTCCCCAAATACCAATTAAAAAATATATGTCACTGTGCTGGATTCGAAGATAAATTGCTATTTATCCTAAAAATTTCATCCCCCCCTTAGTAACCTCAACGTTAGCCTGAAAATGCACGATGTCACTGGCTGACAATTTCGAGGTCTCCTGCCAATTATCCCTGCAAGGTTATCGGCAACATTTTGCAAGTGTTTATATATTGCTTATAAAGAGCAACCTTAAAATAATAATATTGTTTTGGAAATAATAAAAAAATGTGTATCATAAATACCTCTCTCTTTTATTCTGTTCATGTTCCAAGAGAGAAACATCTCAGGTAAAGTTATTGTGGACTGTTGATTTTTCTACGGCTTCATTTAAAGACTTGCAGCAATTTAGAGCTAGACATGTCGTGTATTGTTGAAGATCATATGTTGACCTCTAGATATTTTTTGTTTTAGTTGGTGGGCTGCTGTTTCATTGACATACCCCCAAAACATCCTTTTATTCACATTTTAATTGCTTTTGACAATTTCACATTTATTCATAAAATCAAACTGTTATTCAGGTGAATGATAACAGATCAAGAAAACTTTACAATAATCTTAAAATATTTCATAATTTTTTATCTGGCAAAAATGATTCAATTTACATCTGAAAAATGGGACATGTTACCTATACATGCATCCCTCATAACTTTGGTTTTGGTTTTTGTGTCCTTTTTATTCATCTCCCAAATATCCAACATGTACCATACAAAATTACAATTTTAAAGCAAGTCAGTTTAAGCATTTATAATCAGGTCAATAAATGTTCAGAAATACCATATAATGTTGTAGAAACCTCAAAGTACAGTTGTGATGATTTTTTAACAGATTTAGACCTTTAAAAAAAGACTATCAGTGTGTAATAAATTTATGGAAAACTGGCCCATACCTCTTTTGGTTTTGTACTATTATATTGGCATACATTCTCCTCGTATTAACCAGTATTTCATGTTTTTTTTTTTTTTTGTAAAAGTTTCGATTAAAATTGGAATACTTTCATTATAGTGTAATTTTGTTAGTAGATTTTTAACAGATTTAAAGACCTTTAAAAAAAGACTATCAGTGTGTAATAAATTTATGGAAAACTGGCCCTACCTCTTTTGGTTTTGTACTATTATATTGGCATACATTCTCCTCGTATTAACCAGTATTTCATGTTTTTTTTTGTAAAAGTTTCAATTAAAATCGGAATACTTTCATTATAGCGTAATTTTGTCAGTAAATTACTATATATATCATTTTAAAAGTTGTATCATCGCTAATAATGGCGACATACCATTGCGTCCTCTCATATTTGAAATAAATAAATTGAATAAAATGTTCCATGAGCAAATTCACTTCTTTTGAAGTGTTGATGTGGAATTACAATGATTAAAACTAGATTTTTGCGCTCTCTGAACTTTCGATATGAAAGACACAAATTGATATTGACTTTGCATGTTACTAAAATGCACCGTAAATAAAAATGATAATTGGCATGCATTATGTTAACACCAAAAGGGTCAGTTGTCTTGAGATTGCTCACCATACAATATTTTGTTGACTTCATTGTTTAATACCTCACAGAAGCTTCAAGACGAGGAACAGCAGAACAGTAATAAGTGTTTAATTTCTTATGATTTTATATATCAAATGTTAGAATCAAATTTAAAGGCACTAATCTTAAAGGCATAGAAGTTGACGTGTGTAAGAAACATAAGTTGGAGCATCGATTAAACTAAATACGTTCAAGTGGTTTTTTTTATTACGGAAAATTACACGCATGATGTCCTGCCGAAATTGACGTTTTGGTGTAATTCTAATGCTTTAATGTCGCGCCAATAGTTAACTCCCTTGAAACTGTATCGGATGCCCTAAAGATCACTGACTTACTGTAAACCGCAAGTGGTTCCCTTAAACTGACCTAATGATAAACTTCAACAAATTTTTGGTGCCTCAGACACCGAAAACAGCACACCTAATTTCACCTCCAAGAAATCCAAACAAGACACTATTTCAATCCTAATGCAATACCTCATAAATATGAATGTTTAATTTCAAATACTCCTTCATGAAACTAGAGACTCTTAAGAATTTTGCAATTTGACCTATATGTTCACAAGTACTCCTTACAGACACAGTTTATTTCAGTAAAACTCCTAAATGTTTTCTTCTTTCTTCATCTGAGAAGAATTTATATATTTAAAGACATTAAAGTAAAATGGTTCAGAACCCATCAGCATTTATGCTCTAAACAATACTAGATGGCTTTAAAATCTTAAATGGTCATCATTCTACAATGGTGCACTCAATAATTTTAACAGAGAGGTTCATACAAAATATTTAGTCCAAATTTTGTCAAACAACTTCAACAGAGAAGTTCAAAGTGTGATGTCCAACTGTCTGTACAATACACTAAGCAGAGAAATTAATACAAGAAATTTGGTCTGAGAGATGACAAAACTGATAGTATATTACAACAATTATTACAGCTGAATTTTATCATAGAATTGATGAAATTTCGATAGGAATATAATCAAACATACTTTGAATTAGTCTTACAAGACTCATGTACCAGTTTTAAATCTATTTTCATCCCTCCCACAATTTATTTTTTTTATTATCTAAAAAGATAACATACATCTAAAATATTGTTAAATATTTGAGTTGCAGCTTTGTTCATTTCTAAAACAAATATGACAATATACCTTGAAGCTGTGAAAAATCTTCCTTTATGGAAACAGATTTTGTGAATTTGTCCATCATGTGCTTGTACAGCTGCCTCTGTCTCACCTGTTTCTTTGTTCCAAAAGTATACATGACCTCCAGAATCACCACTAATGACTAAGTCACCTTGCATCTAAACATAAAAAAAGATGACTTATTACTTCATTCAATTTACATTTAAAAAGTACATTGATATATACATAGAAATGCATTATAATATTTCAGGACAAACTATAGCTAACCTTAACTTTAGACTGGTTGGCAGATATTGTTGTTTGCAAAACCAAGAATATAATTCAGGGATCACACTACTTCAGAATCATAGGGAGAAGTGACTTCTCTTTTTGAAATTGTGAGGGAGAAGTGGTGAGATTTGAAAGAGAAGTGCTTGTTCGCTCGCGGCACTACAATGTTTGGTTTTTACTATAATACATTAAGGGCCATATGTATCTTATTTTTTTTATATTGTTCAATTTGTACCTGGGTAAATTAAAGTAACTGTTCAAATTTAAAATTGTTGAATTTTATCATATCTAGTTGCACAATCATATGAGTCCTCTTTTCAGAAAGTAAATTAAATATCTGGCACTAATAAAAAAGATTTTTTTTTTTATTTCAAAAAGGAAAAGAAAGTTGTTATATCAATTAAAAAACTACTCTGTTATCATGTTCATGAAACTGAGTATTTCTCATTAAAAAGATATATAAATTTAACAGTTAAACTTAGTCCCAGAGTTGAGCAACTTTAACTTATAAATTGAAACAATGCATATACATGGAAATATATTCATTAATCAAGAAGATCTAACCAAAAGTATGTTAATGCGTGTGGAATGCGTAATTTTTCCTTTTGGGATCAATTTTTGTCTGTCAGCAGTGCCATTCATGCGTCTGTAGTCATTATCGTAAAAATCCGGATTTCAGTCATAGCAGGTCCGTTTCCGATGAAATTCCAACTCCGATCCGTAGTTGTACAATGATATGCCCAATAATTTAAATGGCGGACGAAGAAAAATTTACAAAAAATAAACGATGTTTGACACGCTATTTGGAAAGGAATATGACGTTTTTAATGCAATACAAGAATAACAAATTTACTTCAGACAAATTTCATCAAGTTCTAATGAAGTAACAACTTATTTTGCCGAAAGTTAGAATGATTTGATGTACGCTCTCCGAGTAACAAGTTCCGGAAGTGATAAAAAATTGTTTTTATGAAATAACATGCCACCAACTTTGAAATCAATGCTTTAACCTCTTTTCTGAAGAAAATAAATCGTTTATGCCTTGAATTTCTTTACTTATAAATGAAAAATTGCTGTTTCATCGTCTTGGTAAAAATTGAATATTGCCGATGACGAAAGGGACTGAAAGCGAGTATCGTAAACCACAAGGCGACTTGTTTTTGCTTTTGAGGGTCGGGCAAAGCGAAGTGACGGACGGGAAAGCGACTTTTCCGCCCTAGTCGCCTGGTAGCGTGAGCCCTAATATTGCACCAACAAAAATAATAAAAGGAAAACATTTCAATTACTACAAACAGTCCACAAAGTTGTAATTCACTTTCTTTGTTTTATTATACGATATCACAAATCTCATAAAGTCACTTCAAATTTTTTGAGCTCCAATGGAAACTAGAAGTGTTAAAATCTCTTTTTATTTTTTTATTTCTAGCTCAAGATAAATTTGAGGAAAAGTCAAAATTTTCCTCATTTTAATTCATGTTATCACTGTTTTTCATACTGAGATTTATAAAGAAAATATATAAAAAAAATCATCAATGTATTTAACACCTACACTTAAGACATCAAAGAAACTTAAAATGGAAACATGTTGTAACTGTCAATGGCTTATTTACATACAACATGCAATGTCACAAAGGTAAAATTACATAAACACATCTATAAATTACAAATTGTCATCAAAATGTTCAAGTTTGGCAATTATCAGAGTATTTATAAAGACAAATTTACCCAAAAATATTGATAACTTGATTGTGTTTTATTTGATTTATTTCTGTTGGTAGAAGTTCAAATTGTTCCAATACACCATTTGACAGTTTAGTTCAATGACTATAAAAAGATCAATCACTGTATTGTACTGTTGTAACAAATATTGTTCTAGACAGAAATGTAATTGTTATAATTAGCAGCAATCACATGTTATATGATACATTTTCAAAGATCTGTCACTTATAACATGAATATGTTTTCATTATTTAAGCTTCTAGTTATCTATTTAAGGATTTAATTGAGAAAGTTAAATTGTTTTAATGGTTTACACCTGCAAGAATTTGGATAATTATGTAAATTTATATGTCAAGTAAAGTACTCACTCAGTTGAAAAAGCCTCAAGCTGCAATCATATTTCTCACTTTATATCTAAAACAGTTAATCTCTTAACTATTCTGAATTATATACCTTTCCTACCCAAAAAAAAATCAAAAAATATTTATGGCCTTGTTTTGTTAATTGTTTTTACAAGTATAATTATTGTCAATTCAATTTTGAGTGTTTACAATAATTGTGACAGGATTTAAGTGGTTTATTTGATCACTTTGTACTTTAATGACTTGACTTTGCAGTTACTTAAAATTTCTAACCAGTTGAACAGTTTGATTTGATTAAACAAAATGCAATTTGAATGAACTGCAATAGATGAAGAGAATCAAGTAAATTATAATAAAAAAATTCATGTTACATACATGTATATTATTAATAAAGTGAAAATAAGCTACTATTCAACTGGCAAAAAGACAGGTTTTTGTCTTGCCTCAAGGAAGTCGAAAAAAGCATAACTTAGGTGAAAAAAGCATAACTTAAGCGTGTTATTTCCAGTGACAGTGGTGTCAACAATGTATTAGTCTGTGATTAGGTCACTTTATGGGAACCACTAGTGATAGGTCAATTATATTTGGAATGCAGTCACTTCTCATTTCCACAGAAATTATTTGGCCTTGTCCCCTCAGTCATGGTCTATTGACTTTGAAACTTTTGCTTACTTTACATAATAAAATTTGTGATTAGATCAGTTAAAGTTGAATCACAACTGTTAAGTCAATAATATTTGGTATGCAGTTGTATTAGTATTTGTAAGTCTCATTATCATGCAGATAATATTGCCCCACTCCCTCATCATGTTCACTGACTTTGTAACGTTTGCATAGTTTACAAGTTAAGGTTAGTTTAAAGGGAACCACTGTTGATAAGTCAATGGTAATTGGTATGCAGTTTTATAAGCATTGGCATTTCTCATTTCCATCGAGGTTATCAAGCCCTGTGCCTTCATTCATGGTTCATTGATTTTAACTGTTTTGCATTGATTACATGTTTTAAATATTGCCATTTTTATTATAATATAAAAATTACAAAAGGGCAAGACATAGCTCTGTTTCAACAATTTATTTCTTTGTGTTTTGTTCCTTATTTCATATTTTTTTTCTTAATCAAAATATAACAATATGGTCTTCAATACAATAGTTTCATTTGTTTGACCTCTATAAGTGTCCACTTCATAACATTTTATACTTACTACTACAGAAAGGATTTGGTCCTGGCAGCCACTAAATATGCGTAAGCATTCTGATGTTTGTATGTTTACAAGCCTAAGTGTCCTGTAAATAAACAAGCAATAAGAGATATATGCGTGTATAATTATATTCATAAATATAACAATCTCTTATTTTGGCTGATGATCAGAAATAAGTTTACATATCTAATCATTTACAGTGACTTGGGTGTAATTGTTTCTCTCTTCTTATTGCAGTTCATTCAAAATTCTGACCCAAAGGCAATTTGTTACATCAAATTGAGCTGTTCAATTGATCCGAATGTTTTTCCAACTGCTGTAGAAGGACAAAAGTCGTGTCATCAAAGTCACAAAATAAAACAAATGTACAAGATATTTTTTGTTTATCTTTAATTAAATATTCAACAACATTTATATTAGATTTGAATTCTACTTTATGGTTACTAAGACAGGATTGCTGAAAATTTCTACAAATATATTTATTGTAATAAATCATCTGAAAGGTAAGGTAGTAGTAACTTTTGAATTGCTATAAAAATGTCAAAATTAAATTTTTGAATAATCTCTTCTGACACATCATTTGTCTTTAAACAAAGGTGTCTTTGTAAATTAAAATGCAAAATACTCATTGAAATATACTTTTAGCTAAAATATGTTTTCTTGATGTTTCAAAGGGAGATAAGACAGTCCAACTAATATTTCAAATAAACTAGAGGCTCTAAAGAGCCTGTGTCGCTCACCTTGGTCTATGTGATTATTTAACAAACAATACTCTCCAACATTGTAGACGAGAATAGAATTAATGACAAAAATCTGTGTTTTGTTAATCTTGTATTGCTGATCCTTTAGTTTGTTTAGTTTCTTTCTATCTTCTTTAGTTTTTGCTCGAAACACAAAAGAGAGTAAAAAAAAATCATCATTTGAGGGCAATCACTTCTTTAAAGAGTGACAGTCTACTAAACTGTATTGGCAAAATTTGACTTGTTAGTAGATCTTGCTTTGCTGATCATTTTTGTGATTTAAATAAATAACTTTTATCATATTAGGCAAAACTAAAATAAAATGGTAAAACAATCATCATTAAAGGGCAATAACTCCAATAAGGAGTCGTTGGACGATTTCCTCCAAAGTGTCTTAATAGAAGATCTTGTCTTGCTGATCATTTTTGCTTATTTTAAGTTTCTATCTATTAATTATAGTTTTTTAAGATATCAGGCAAAAATGCAAAACATTGGGAAAAATCGTCATCAAAGGGCAATAACTCTAATAAGGAGTCGACTGACGATTTCGACTGTTCACACTTATTTGTAGAACTTGACTTGCTGATCATTTTTGCTATCTAAAGTTTCTCTCTATCTATCATAGTTTTCAAGATAATATGCAAAAATGAAAAAAAATGGTAAAATTTGTCATTTAAGGCCAATAACTCCTATAAAAAGTTGTCTGATAGTTTTGACATTAATGGACAATTGGTAGAGCTCAACATTCTGAACATTTTTGATCCTGTCAGATTTTTCTCTATTTATAATGGTTTTCAAAATAATAGACAAAACTTGCATTTTACCCCTATGTTCTATTTTTAGCCATGTCGGCCATCTTGGTTGGCAAGTGGGGGCATCAGACACATTTTTTAAACTAGATACCCCAATGATGATTGTGGCCAAGTTTTGTTAAATTTGGCCCAGTAGTTTCAGAGGAGAAGATTTTTGTAAAAGTTAACGACAACAGACGCCAAGTGATGAGAGATGCTCACTTGGCCCTTTGGGCCAGGTGAGCTAAAAAGGAGGGTTGGCGTGGAGGATGGGTGATATTTAATTATCTCCCATGGAATCTGATTGACTCCATATTGTATCTTCACATATTTTTTTACTGAATATTATATGTTTTAATTTTAACTGAAGTCTGATTCTTATAAGTACAAAAGAATTTTTTAAACAGTATAAATATAAAAATAAGGAGATGAGGTATGATTGCCAATGAGACAACTATCCACCAAAGTTCAAATGAAGTGGATGTTAGCAATTATAGGCAACCATACAGCCTTCAACAATGAGAAAACCCAATACTGTATAGGCGGCTATAAAGGCTGTATTTGGACATTTTTATAGCAATTAAAAAATTATTACCTTACCTTTCAAATGACTTATTAAAATTAGCATGTGTTGAGATATTAAGACATCATTTCAAAGCACCCATGAAGTGGAATTCATGTCTTAGAGGATTGTAAGTATACTCTGAGACTACTATATAGTAGTCTCATGTATACCTTATTTTATCACTTGCACTTAGATGACTTGACCATGGTTCTTCTACAGCAGTTTGTTAAAATTTATGACCAGACAAACAGACAAACTGTAATTGGGTAGAAATTTTGAATTAACTGCAATAGGTTGAGAGAAACATTATAATCATTTCATAGAACTACGATTTTCATACATAAAATAGTTAATTTCATAATTAAAACAAAACCACACATTTGATTCTGTTTTACAGCTCTGTTGTTTTGACCATTGCTAAATAATTCTAATAAATACTTATCCATAAATGACAAAAAAATAAAATTTAGACAATCAATACAAAGAATAATTCACAAACATTTGTGTGATATTTATGTTGATATTTTACCAATAATGAATATAGAATACAATTGTTTTATGACAATCTTTCACATATAAATACACATTGTTATGCATTTTATAATAATATTGGTTAACTTTCATCCATGACAGTAGGTAAAAAATAGACAAAAGAAAAAAAGTGCCATACAGATAAATGCAACAAGTTTTGTTTTGACAACATTTTTAAGTAGGAATATGCACATAATACATTTTTTCCTGAGAAAAATGAACAGAACAAGTGAAACTGTTAGCTACTGCTCACTGATGATACCCCCAGCCCAAATATGCATTTGTTGTTGAGTGATGAATCTGAAAAATGCATCACACGGTATAGCTGACATATATAAACCCTGAAACCAAATTTCAGACATCCTTATGATGTAGTTCCTGAGAAAGATGCGACAAAAAATATTCATGGGACGGATGGACGGTGGACGGACAGACGGATGGATGGACAGATGGACGGACTGACAGATGGATGGACGGACGGACAGACAGAGGTAAAACAGTATACCCCACTTTTTTAAAGCGGGGGTATAATAAACAAGAATGTGTCCATAGTACATGGATGCCCCACTCACACTATCATTTTCTATGTTCAGTGGACCTTGAAATTGGGGTCAAAACTATAATTTGGCATTAAAATTAGAAAGATCATATCATAGGGAACATGTGTACTAAGTTTCAAGTTGATTGGACTTCAACTTCATCAAAAACTACAATGACCAAAAACTTTGAAGTGATACAGACGGACGGACAAAAGAACGGACGGACGAATGAACGCACAGACCAGAAAACATAATGCCCCTACTACTATCGTAGGTGGGGCATAAAAACATATCTAAGAATGAATGTACAATACTGAGTAGTTTTGAGAATTTCTGATTAAAACTATCCACCTTACATAGATAACAAGTGATATCAAAAGCTTTGTCAGATAGCCTGAAATTATATGGTTTCATGTAATAGAATATCAATTAATATGCAGCAGCAGTTATAGGTTGCACTTTGTAAATACAGCTGTTTCTCAAACCACGCCTCTTTTGGGGAGATATATAATATTCATAGATATGTTAATTTGTTAATGTACTGGTTCCCATTTATGATCTCTGTGTTTCATCTCATAGAGACATCACTTGGGAATGTAACCAGTATAGAAAAACATGGTAGCGCCTTAATTTTAATTCTTAGGAAGTCCAAATATGAAGGTAAGGGTAGTATAGAATTTCAGTATAAGTTTAAACTCTTAGAAGTTCAGGGCATATAAATGTTGAAAATATGCCGCACAGCCCTATATTTTGACCTTTGAATAAAATAGTAGTGCATATAAACTTTCCATTCTGGGATATTATTTTTCACGAAACTTCATAGTAAAAGTGAAACAGTTTTAGCCGCAAAGGGAGTTCCTATGGGAAATTGCATTGTCTATATTCACAGAATTGCAACCTATATAGGGTTAAAAAATAGAACATACAGAATTTCACAAAATCTGGTTTATCTCAGAGATTTTAAAGAATTTAACTCAAATATGAAGTTTTATAAATATTTCATGAAGATTGAGAAAATCCTGAGCCTAAACTATGATGACTCAGCATAAATTCACAGTTTACAGTATGCATGGTTTACTTAAAGCCCTGAATTCAAAATAAATTCATAATATATGCCTATTTGTGATTTAAAGTTTAGAAGTGCTTATATTTACTCTTAGCAGTCATTGCAACTCATTGATCCTTCCTAAATAATTTTGTTGGGTTATTTTTGTCCTGTCGATAACCCAAAAGTAAGCCGTAACACCTAAATGTGTTTTTTTGTGACCGCGGCATTAAAAGTACAAGCTAGAACTACAAAAAGACCTCAATAAAACTTACAATAGTGTGTTCTATCTTTAATATATACTAAATACTCCACATTGCTAGAAACAAGGAAAATACCCAGGGGGCAAAAAACAGAAAAAAATGCCTACCCTGGGTAATAAAACAGATAATTTAACTTGTAAATGCTATGATTTTATTATTTTCAAGGTCTTTTGTAAACAAAAAAATAACTGTGCTGGAAAGTTATGCAAAAATAAGATGTAAGCAGTCATTTCTATCAAACTTTTAGTGAATTTATGCACCAGACTGATATCTTCTTAAATAAAATTTTGCAAATATGGCTTTGTTTAGACACTTCTAGTTCATACATTAACTAACTTATGTTAGTTATATGGTTAGAGATGATACTGTTGTGACAAAAATTCTTAACTGACCATTTGAGACAGAAATTGTGAACTTTCATTGACAAATAGGCATACAGTAAGATGTGGACTGGAGACACATGCAGGATTGGATACTTTGTATAATCTTGAATGTTGGAATGATTAACTACTAAACAGTACATTTATAGTATTCTAAAATGCTTTCAATTTGTTATCAGAATAGTTTTAAACATGTTTTAGACATTTCATGTCAGAAAACATGCACATAGG